GGGTGCTACTCTGCCCAAGACGACTCTGAGACACCCAGTTACTATACCAGACAGGACAACAGCTGATGCGAATTCAGTAATCCCTAATTCCCTTGCTTTGAGCAATTCCCAGGCTGTACCTTTTACTTCTGTTCAAGATGATAATATTTTGGGTCTGAAGCCGGAAATTGAAGGATTAGAGTCTTTGCCCGGACATCTTTATCATGGACTTGATTTTCCTGTGTCTTATGGTGACTCTGTGGTTGGAACTACATCTTCTGATGCTTATACTGATGATATAGGAAATAATGTGATTTTGGGATCCTCGTATCAATACAAGGATATAAATGGGATCACAGTCCATTCTTCTGAAACAAAAGACCTTTCCCAACCAGAGTTGCAAGAAAGCTTGCCTCATGACTGGAGTCAGCATGAGGATAATGAGTTGATAAACTCTGAAAGGATTGATCACAATCAAGTTTCAAGTGAGTACTTCTCTTCTGCTGACACTCATCAGAGCATATTGGTATCCTTTTCAAGTTATTGTGTACTGAAAGGAACTGTTTGTGAACGCTCCCAACTTCTGCGCATAAAATTCTATGGTTGCTTTGATAAGCCACTGGGCAGATATCTTCGTGATGACCTATTTGATCAGGTGATTCGTTGTTACTTTACTGCATCCCTCCTTAATTTGCTTTGCTGACTATGAAATGGAATTAAAGTTAATAATAAGGTTTGTAATTGACAGACATCTTCCTGTCGGACTTGTAAAGAGACAGCCGAGTCTCATCTTCTATGTTACACCCATCAGCAAGGAAACCTTACCATTAATGTTAGACGCCTTCCTTCACTAAAGCTACCTGGGGAGAGAGATGGTAAAATATGGATGTGGCACCGGTGTCTAAGGTGTGCCCATATTGATGGAGTTCCACCAGCAACACGTAGAGTAGTCATGTCAGATGCTGCCTGGGGGCTTTCTTTTGGAAAGTTCTTGGAACTGAGCTTTTCAAATCATGCAACTGCGAATCGTGTTGCTACTTGTGGCCATTCATTACAACGGGATTGTCTTCGTTACTATGGGTAAGTACTAATAGATTTGGAGTGTTATTACTTTTAGTGTACTAAATGATCTTATTTTGAAAAAATGACTTGTATTACAGGTTTGGAAGCATGGTTGCGTTCTTCCGATATTCCGCGATTGATATTCTTTCTGTCCATTTGCCCCCTTCAGTGCTTGAATTCAATGGCCAAGTCCAACCAGAGTGGATAAGAAAAGAGGCAACAGAGGTGCTTTTAAGAATTTTAATCTAATTCTTGAATAATCTCTTGATGGGTGGTGAATGATGAACAAGTTTTGTAACTGCTGGTTATGAGATTTCAATTCTAATAACCTGGATTGTTTTGCAGCTTATGGGAAAAATGGAAACCATATATGCAGAGATATCTGATGTACTCGACTGCATGGAGGAGAAAAATAGATCTTTTGGATGTGAAATGTCAGGTACAATTGAATTACAGCACCACATCTTGGAGCTGAAAGATCTGCTTAAGAAGGAAAGAAATGACTACATTGTAAGTGCAAAATTGAGTATCGCATGTGACTATGATTGGTATCACATGTTTCCTGGTCCATGGTTCATGTTTACCCTTTGTGGAATCTTTGTTTTCCTAATCTAGTCTACTTGCTTTTTCAATAGGGTTTTCTGCAACCTGCTTTTGTGGAGACTTCTGAACCAGGACAAATGCCTGTTGTAGACGTTCTGGAGCTAAATCGCTTGAGACGTTCTCTTTTAATTGGTTCTCATGTTTGGGATCGCCAGCTATATTCATTGGACTCACTGCTTAAAAGGACTCCTGTTTCCATGGCTACTGATGAGGATGTATCTTTTGCCCACCTGCAAGAGTTGATAAGTGATCCATCTGGTAAGGATGTCAGTCTTGACTATGGCCATGAAGATCATGTGTCTGAGTCTTCAAAATTCCAAGTGCCTCCCGGCAATGATCTACCAACAGATAAAGAACCTAATGTACCACCACTTGAACCTTCTGAAGACGTATCCCACCATTATAGCCGAGACGACGAGATGCATTCAGATAAGGAAATTGTTAATAAGACATCCTGCAAAGGCTTTTCCTCCCTTAAATCTACACTGTCTGAGAGAATAGATTCTGCATGGACTGGGACTGATCAACTTGTGGTGAAAGCTCAACCACTTGGTACATCACATTTGACTGAAGTTCAAGCTCGTGCTGTCAAGCATACTAGTCAAAATGATGATCCCCCTCTTAGGAGGCTAATGTCGCCAGTGAGAGTTCACTCTTTTGATTCTGCCCTAAGATTCCGAGACAGGATTAGGAAGGGATTGCCCCCTTCTTCATTGCATTTGTCGACGCTTAGATCATTCCACGCGTCTGGAGATTACAGGAGTATGGTGAGAGATCCTGTTTCTAGTGTAAGAAGGACTCTTTCCCAGGCATTGCCACGCGAGGCACAAAAGTTGGATTCAATACTCAATTCCACACCCTCATTTGTCTCCTCTGCATCTCAAATAGCTGATGGGGTTCGGTTGCTGCTTTCCCAGACAAGCAGCAATGACATAGTCGTTGGTGTTTATGATAGCGAACCCACTAGCATAATCTCATATGCCCTTAGTTCCAAGGATTATGAGGACTGGGTTGCTGATAATTTGAACGAGCATCAGGCAGGCTGGAGTATTCATGAAAGCTTTAAAGAAGATTCTGCAGCTTCTATCTTTTCACCCTGGCAGTCTTTTGGCTCTATGGACTTGGATTACATCCATTATGGAAATTATGGATCTGAAGATGCTTCAGGTTCCATGGGCAACCTGTTTGCAGATGCCAAAAGATCTCCACATTTGAGGATATCTTTCGGGGACGAGTCCTCAAATGGGGTAGGAAAAGTGAGATTTTCTGTGACTTGTTATTTTGCAAAGCAGTTTGACTCTTTTAGGAAAAAGTGCTGCCCCAGTGAAGTGGATTTTGTACGATCTTTGAGCCGCTGCCAGAGGTGGAGTGCACAAGGGGGAAAGAGCAATGTATATTTTGCTAAATCTCTGGATGATAGATTCATCATAAAACAAGTCACAAAGACGGAATTGGAATCCTTTCAGGAATATGCACCTGAGTATTTTAATTATTTGACAGATTCCCTTAACTCAGGAAGTCCAACTTGTCTTGCCAAGGTTCTTGGTATGTATCAGGTAAGGCTTCTTCTCTGATTCTTTATTTTTATATTTTTTTACTCTGTTTCATTGTTATGTTATGTCTGTGCGGGTCAGTAGTGAGTAGTAGCTTAAATATTCGTGTGATCGTATTATACTGGTGTATTGGCAGGTCACTGTTAAACAGCTGAAAGGTGGGAAGGAAACTAAAATGGATTTGATGGTGATGGAGAACCTTTTCTTCAAAAGAAACATTTCAAGGGTATATGATCTCAAGGGGTCTACTCGATCCCGTTATAATTCTGATACAACAGGGGTAGACAAGGTACTGTTAGATATGAATTTGTTGGAATCATTACGTACACAACCCATATTTCTTGGAAGCAAAGCAAAGAGAAGCCTGGAGAGAGCTGTTTGGAATGATACGTCCTTTTTAGCGGTATGCCTTCACCCCCTTCCCTTTTGCTTGCCTTCAGTTTTAGATGTTAATCTCAAGATAGTTAAAACAAATTTTCTTCATGTTGCATCTATTCGATTCAATTTCTTCAGTGACACTTATTTACAAAGTTTATTCGGCTCTATTATGAACGTTATAGCTATTAATTTCTGCCAATGCCTCTCCAGTCTGTTGATGTAATGGACTACTCGCTGCTCGTCGGGGTGGACGATGAGCGGAAGGAGCTGGTTTTGGGGATCATAGATTTCATGAGACAATATACATGGGACAAGCATTTGGAGACATGGGTAAAGGCATCCGGAATACTTGGAGGCCCGAAGAATGCTGCTCCGACCATTATTTCCCCGAAGCAATACAAGAAACGATTCAGGAAGGCGATGACTGCTTATTTTCTCACCGTGCCTGATCAATGGTCGTCATGAACTGTTCGTACTTCGCATCAAGCTGCATTTTTTCGCGTTCACAGAAGATGTGTTCACTAATAAGTTTTATAGGGGAATTATTATTTCTGATACACAGAGAGGAGGGAAACCCCTCCATCTTCGTCTTCTTCTTCCCCTTTCTTTTGTACATGGGGTAGAGTTAAATTAACCCACATGAGATTTGTTACCTCTGTAATTGTGAAGAGTTGGTAACTCTTCTTATTTTCTGTCATAGTTACCAACAATGTAGGATTAGCCATGTGATGTAACAGACAAATGTAAATTAAATAGGAAAGGGATCCTTTCTTCTAATCCTCCAAATCAGAAAATTTGTGTCGTTGAAAATTGATCCAACGGTTACAAACAGGAGTTCACGTTAAAAGTTATATTAACTTCAGGTGTTGGATCAAATTTTAACGGTACGAATTATCTAATTCGGTGATTATGTGGAAGGGATCCCTTTCCAATTAAATATTTGATCGATGGATTTTCTGTCCACGTGCTTCATCAGCAAAATATCAATTTTTATTTATTAGTCTCTTGAATTATAATGCTCTGAGCACGTGCATCTCTACTTAAAGATTGGTGGATGAAATTCCTTGAGCACATGTGTATTGTGATATTTGGAAAATACTTTTCGTATAAAGAAATTCTTTAATATTTTGATGCCAAATTATTCGGCTTAACAAGTTTGCTCGTTACTGCATGTGGTGGTTCAATATAATAGTGAATATGGTGTTGATTTTCATTCATGCGTTTGAAGCAGCACCTTTCATAATTTTTTGTAATAATTTCCAACTCTCCTCATTTTTTAATAATAATAAATTGAAAAAAAAAAGTTTACTTGGTACCTATTGTGAGAAATATGAGATAAGTTCATAAAGGTTACGAAGATTATGATTTCACAAAACCGTTCGTGAGTGCAGATATAAGTTAAATCAGTTAGTTAGGACTCAAAGAAACAAGAAGATAAAAAGTTTGACTATAATTTATGTATAGTTATACAGTATAAATAACTAACTACACATGCTTAAAGATAATCCTCAATCAATTCCTCAAAAGTGCGGTTGATGGGACTGCGCAGACTGAAGTAGAGTTACCGGCTACAGGCGCTGCTCATCTCTACTGGTTAAGACCTCTCCTTCATTAGCTGGTCGGAAACTCACTCGTTTCTGCAGGATCAAATACAAGAATACTAGTAAAGAATATTTCAACATATTTCTCTTAACTATTCTAAAACAATAATTTAGACATAAACATTTGTGTACAAATTAGATTATCGTCACTAGTACTATGATTTAGTGGTATTCTTCTCCACTAATAAATCTAAGGTCTCAAGTTGTACTCCCATAAATGACTTCGATGTCTAATTATGGCTGACCTATTTTGTAAGACTTAGACCTAGTTTGGGAGTGAGGTGCTTAAAAAAAAAGCACCTATGAACAAAAGCTGTTAGAGTTTTAAGTGTTTGGTAAACTGAAAAAAAAAGGCTTATTTTGGAAGCTACTGTGAGAATAAGCTGAAATCAAAGGAAAAAGCTGAAGCTGCTATTTGCAGCTTTGGAAAACTGGCTTTTTTTCAAAGCACACGGGGCTACAGTGCTCCTTTAATGAAAAGACCCACTATCAGACTGCTTTTTTTTTTTTCCAAAAGCACTTTTACAAAAAAGTTTACCAAACGCTCTGCTGATTTATTTCACAGCCGCTTATTCTCACAGCACAACCACTTATTCTCACAGCAGCTTTTTTTTTCAAAGCACAGCAATACCAAACCAGCCCTTAGTCCATATCTTCTCGCTCAATATTAAAAAATACATTAAAATTTTAGTATAAGTTCATATATCTCTGTTTATAGCTGTAAACATTTCGATTTGAAACATGTTTAGATGGAAACAGAGCGGTAATTAAGTTGTAAACTATTTGGTCAGTGTGAAAAGCTTGACTATCTACGCATATTTCCAAAATCGCCCAAACCTTGTAAAATAACTAACACCATGACTTGAACAGATTTGGCTACCGTTTTTACCAATCTGTCGGTACGAAAATTGAGTAAGAGGGTCAGCAGATGAGATCCCAAATCATGATAGCTTTGTCAACTGTGGAAATATTTCACTCTGAACATGAAGGGTAGGTGCAAATTAAGGTAAGATTTGGCTTATGCTTGAAATGCATAATGCTACCTAAGTTCTATGGGGAAGGTTGAAGAATTGGGTATAACGAGTTCAACTATATGATATTACTAATTCATGTATTATGATATAGGTGGATAATATGGCTCACGTATAATTGATATAGAGTATAGTATTAAAAATAATTTCACTACTTATAATTAACAAGTGATCAGTTAATAGTATTACGTGACGGTATGACTGTCAAACTGAAAAACTTATTTACGGAAGGGTTGAGCTTTGAGCTCATACCAAGTCTTAAAGGAAGTCGTCCCTTAAATCCAGTACCTAAAATTGACTTAATATTAAAATTACTCAGTTGGGTGTACCAACATTTCTATGCGTTAGGTTCAAGCAACCAACCTAAACCAGAAATGTCAAACACCACCACTCAACATGGCACAAAAACAGGATCTATGTCTCTCAGAAACCCTACCTGAATCCGATCACGCCCCTTGATTCCTTGCGACCCAAGCAATCTTCCTCCATCCTTCCAATGCATTTGCGGGTTCAAACCCAAACCTTGATCATTGCCCTTCACGTTGTTGGTGTTCACCATGCAAAGATCCATAATCTGCTGAGCTGCCTCCCCGTCGTCTCTACTTTGCCGCATCAATTTCTCCACTTCTGCCCTCGGAAGCCTCATCCTCACGCGCACCGCCCCATTCGCCTCCTCCTCGGGCACAATGCTTGCTGTCGATGCCGATGATTTCATAACCGAAAGGTCCGAAACCGACCTCCGAGAGAGCATTAGGCTCTCGAGCCTGTCCTTAGCACTCATGTTTATTCCCGATCGAACCCTTCTCTGAAAACTCTCTTTTTTCACATCAACCTTTGGCAACTCCACGAGAAAATACAACCTGTTTGGCTCAAGCTGTTCGTGGGGTTCCAACGGCTTTGCCCGAACCCCGAAATGCTTCACCTCCGATGATTTTAGCAAAACATGACCTGGGAAATCCCTGACAACCTCACCGGCTTGCACTGGTGTCTTCAACTTGAATGCCTCTCCATTAACTTGCATAACTTTTGCACGTTTTTTGCCTCCCAAGCTGTTTCCCATAGCTATAGCTCACTGACCAATTAATTTTGGATTCTGTTTCTGGTATGATATATATATATATATATATATATTCGGATTCTCTGAACAAGAACGCTTGTTTTTTTATTTTTGGATCGATAACTAATGTTTTGAATTGGCCTTTTATCATATGCCAAAAGCCTAAAGCTCTCACGATGGTGGGAACAAGAAAGAGACGTTGTTTTAAGGGCAGTAGTTGTTGTAAAACGACTAATTTTAGGGTTTTGACTTTTTATTGGTCAATAACTTTAGGATTTTGACTATGGCATAAAGTACGTATAGTTTCACTTTCGATCCTAAATTTCTAATTTTTGTTAGTATATCAATATTTTCACATTAAGAGGAGGGAGAGTTCGCCTAAGTCACACAATGAGCAGCTTAATTTGATATTAAATTCGCCAATCATGAGATTCGAACATAGAATCTTTCATTTTTAAGTGAAAAGGAATATCACCAGACCATAATGTTAAGTTGGTTAATTGTCACCCATGGAGTTTATGCTTTTTAGATATATTTTCAACGACCTTATATTCCAAATTTTAGAAAATAATGTTGGCCAAAAACTGTGATGTGTGGAACAAAGGTGATTGCATAATCATATTTTGTTCTTATTTCCAAAGGTAAACAGTACACGATAATCACGGTGCAAATTAACTTAAATTTTTTTTCTTTGGAGTCCATTGAAATGATCATGTGAAAAGTTGATTACGGAAAATCGTGTTAGGAAAACGTGATTTCATCGCCATCGGACTATAATCCTTGATTAAGCTCGTGATGATTTGTTTTTGTCAAATTAACGAAGTCATTAAAAACTAAAACATTTCTACTAATCATGTGTAGAGATACGAATTCATCAAAATTATAAAAACAACAATCGAAAAAGTCAAAATTAAAGCGAACTTACCACAAACAACTGAAATATCGGTATTATCACCTAAAACTAGCCTAATCCGTAATAAGATCATGCAACCTAGAACAACAAAAACACGAAATTAAACCATACGCCTAAATCATGACTAGCACTAGGAACCAATCCTGGCTCGAATAGAACTCACCACATCTTACAATGAACTTGTAGGGTAGATCAGGAGATCAGTAATCAGTGATTAAGCTCATTTGCGTGATGTGGCCTAGTAGTCTAATACCGTGTCCAAAATGATGGTCCATTCATCAACTTGGAAGCAATTAGTAATCTCCAACAAGTTATCTAAGACGAGGAAATGTTGAAACTCCACTCCACTGACACAGAAAGCTAATCTTCCTGCAGCTTCGTATATATCTGATTGCATGCGGTTTCTTTTCTAATTCAAATTCCACATGCAGAAAGGTTGCTACGTACGTACGTATTTCAACTGCCATTATCCATCCGATTTGGAATTTGGAAATAATCACGCAATTATTTGTAGGAAAGAAAACTGCCTGGAAATGTAGAACATGGGAAAATTAAACTACATTGACAAGTCAAGCTTCAAAGGAGCATGTGCCTTCTTTCTGTTCATAGTTTTAATATAATTGGTCAGAGGCTTCTATTCTATATATCCATGTATTTTTGAAATTTGCAGTTAACTTATCATTACAAACCCCTTATTATTAAAAATAACAACAAAAAAATAATTGTCGGCAGAAGGCAGATATTTTTTTCCTTTTTATTAGAATGGACCAAGCCCAACAATACTTTATGGCCGAGAATGTTGAACGGTCAAGCATCAACGCATGCAAAAATTGAGTGTGGTGGAGATGAGAATGCTTCGTTTTTTTGCTGTGTGGGTCATGAGAAAGAACATGATTAAGAACGAGGTAAAGTAAGAGTAGCCACAATTAAAGATAAGACGAGTGAAAATTGGTTAAGGTGGTTTGAGCATGTAAAATGAAGACCTACCTATACTCTGGTTAGAAAGTGTAATTATGAGACATAGGCTAAAGGGAAAAATGGTACATAAAGACCAAGGAAAACTTGGATTTAGACTTCAAGAAAAGACATGAAGTATTTGTTGTATTCGAATGAAACATAAAGCTTAGGTAGGACTGAACACCTTCACTACTTTGTACATGTTTAATATACATATTAATTCAAAAAAAAAAGTTATTAGCTCTCGCATCAGTCTAAAATAGTCATCCGTTGCTATTCCCTTTCTTAATTTTCGATTGAAGAAAAACTTAAGAGAAGGACAGGCTAATAATGGTCAAGTGTTAAGAACAATTTTCTTTTAAAAGTTATGAATTTAGACCGACCGAAACAAAAAGACCAAAAAGGAAAAGTAGAGAGTAGAAAAGTCACGTAACTGTTGGATTTTCGTTTTTATAATGTAGGGATTGGTATTGTTTTTTGGGCACAAAGTGGACTAGTTTGGTCACATTGATTCATGTTCATGCTTTATAGTTCAGACCGGATTAATCGAACAAAAGGTGCTAAAATACAATTTTAGTAAGAAAAAAAGAGAGGAAGTTTTAACGAAACTCTTTCGGTACTGTTCACTTCTAACGAAAAACCACATTTCTATATTTCTTTGGTACTATTCATTACACATTTATTTGTTTTTTTTCATTAAAACTAAAGTTTTTTGAACTTTTTATTAGTTTTCCTAAAAAAAAAAAGAAAAATGAATGAAAATGGTTTGAAAACCTTGAGTTTTAAGGATAAGAACAAAATAAAGGGTAAAGTGAATAATATCATGATTGATTTTTTAGTGTAAAAATGTAATTTTTTGTTAAAATAAACAGTACACAAACTTTTCGCTAAAATTCTATTAAAAAAAAAAGGGGGTTGTGGACCATCTAATAAACGTGCTTTATGACTTCCAAGAACTACTGCTCTAACCAACCATCCGTCCACAACAAGGCAACGAAGAAAACAAGGGATTCGGCTTAATATAAAATGTGTGTTCGTTAATTTGTTGTTTTGTGGAGGTTAATATGTTGTCTTCCGAGAAGTTAAGGCAAAGAGAATTTTTGATATGTCAATTTTTAAGTGGAATGTTATGCAATTAAATTTAAAGGTAAAACAACTCCAATTAATATGTTAATCTTACATAAATTGACATCATAATTTTTTGGGTAAATCGCTAAAATGATCTCTGATATTTGCATAACTCATCAGTTTGGTCCCTGAGATTCCAAATCGATAAAAGTGGTCCCTGAGATTGTCCACCATCCATCATTTTGGTCATTCCGTTAAAAACTCCGTTAAGTGTCCCGGAGCTTTTGACCGAAAGTTTGGGCAATTTTCAAAACTTCGTAACTCAATCGTTTCTTAACAAAATTTGACCCATAATATATCAAAATGAAGATAGAAAAGTGTAGAATAAGATTGTACCATTTCAAAGTCCAATGGTGCCGGAGATGGCCGGAAAATAGCCTCAAAGTTGACTGGTCCGAGTGAAAACTTGAAAACTCGCCAGAAACTGGGTAAACTTTAAACGTTCATAACTTCTTCAATACTCAACGAAATCAAGTGATTCAAAACCCAAAATCATACTTCTCGACGAGATGAAGAGAATGATATATTTTTTATGGCTAACGCACCGTGGTTTGGCCGGAAAACCGTTCGAAAGTGGCTAACTTGAGACCAAGACAGCCACTTTCGAGCCGTTTTCCGGCCAAACCATGGTGATTTATCCATAAAAAAGGTACCATTCTCTTTTTCTCTTCGAGAAGTATGATATTCGTTTTTGAATCACTTGATTTCGTTGAGTATTGAAGAAGTTATGAACGTTTAAAGTTTATCCAGTTTCCGGCGAGTTTTCAAGTTTTCACTCGGACCAGTCAACTTTGAGGCTATTTTACGGCCATCTCCAGCAACCATTGGGCTTTGAAATAGGTATAATCTTATTCTACACTTTCCTATCTTCATTTTGATATATTATGGGTCGAATTGGTTAAGAAACGATTGAGTTACGAAACTTTGAAAATTGCCCAAACTTCTGGCTAAGAGCTCCGGGACACTTAATGGAGTTTTTAACGGAATGACCAAAATGATGGATGGTGGACAATCTCAGGGACCACTTTGGCGATTTACCCTAATTGTTTTGCTGTAAATCTTGACATATGAAAAAATGTGATGTTTGTTAATTTTCTAATTGTTTTGTTGTGTGGGTTTCGTTACTGCACCAATTATAAATCATGAAATTTTTTTTTAATTGATTTCTTTTTAAAAATGGGTACTACAAATATTGTTATAACAAACAAAAAATATAGTGAAGGAAGAGAAAATATGACATTGCCATATCAGCCATCAAATTAACATTTGATATTTATCTTTTTTTATTTACTAATTTTTTACTATTATTAGAGGGAGAAAGAGAGTTCGAAACTATTATAATAATTTAGGGCGCTTAATTGGATTAATGGTCCCTATCGATATAGGGTAGTTAGAAGATAGGCCTTGTGGTAAAAATTAGGATTTAAGCCCAAGTTCGTTAGGATTTAAGCTCAAAAGTAAAAATTTCGTCAACACTCCATTAATTGTTAGCACATGAGGCTCACATGTGAGGCTAAAAAGATAAAGTTAGCTCACATGTGAGCTACAACGTCATTTGTACTATTATAATAATTTAGGGCGCTTAGTTGGATTAATGGTCCCTATCAATATAGGGTAGTTAGAAGTTAGCCCTTGTGATAAAAATTAGGCTTACAACATCATTTGTACTGTTATTTTGATACTCGTGAGCTACATTATAGATAGGATGGTGCTATCGACACATCATTTTTACCTTGCATTCACCTCTTTTAATTTTCAACCATTAGATCGAATAAACTGAAAATAATCAAAGATTCAAAGGACATGAAAGAAGGAGTGAGTAGATAGCATCACCATATAAAAAACTTGGAAAAGCACGCTACCCTATTGAATATTTTCTCATACATGCATCGACCATCAGTATCGAATATCTCTAGACAATTAGGAGTTCATATTTTATGGTCGAACAGAAAAGCAAGTGTTTCAGTAAGTAAAGAATGTTACAGCAAACAATGCATCAAATGTTACATTTTACACAAATATTAAAGAAAAGAAACAAATAAATATACAAAGCATTGAGATCGCTTATTCGTCTCAAGCTCGTATTCTCAGTTTCACATCACAAATGGAATATAGTGGAACGAACAAT